TATTTTCGGCTACTGAGAGAGAGTCACACACTGGCACTTAACTATGTCACTCTCATGGCAGACCTCGGCGTCTTCCTATTATGGTGACTACCTTAGACCTTGGCCCCCCTCTGACTGAGGGGCAACACTGAAGGAGCAGTGACGTTTTTTGTGTGTTTTGTTTTTTTTTAACCATAAATTTTCTTATTGGTTATATCATAATGAACACTACAGTACAGTACAGTACAGTACAGTACATTACAAGGTGCCTAGACAGCAATAACGGTATCAGGATATATCAAGGTAAGTGCAACACAGTGATGGGATCACAGGTAATGAGTCGTTGCCAACGCCACAAGTAGCAGCCGTAGTGTGCATCATATGTAAACCGGTTGTAGGTAATGGTGAGTAATAGTGCACATGTATTCAATAAATATATATTACCGGGGTTGGGTGCATAGCTTATAGTGCTAGCGAGTTGCCAAACAAGGACCAGTTGTCACTTCCTGTAAGGTTTGGCTTCTGTGGAACTCGGCTGCGGATAAGTAATGCACAGTGGGTGGATTGTCATACACAAACCCCTCTCTCAAAAGAATACACGGAAATAATAACTTATGCAACTGTATTAATTCATACAGGATATACCAATGCAGTTTTATCTGTGTGCCTGCTTGTTAGTCTTGGCATGCTATTTGCACAAAGTTCATGGGCAATCTACTTTGTCAGCACTGCCAAACCGCAAGTATATTTGCAATCAGGAGTGTTTGTAGAGAAATAGCAGAGGATTCCTTGCTGGGAAAGGTGAGTTCAAGATTTCTCAGGAGTGACCTTGCCAGCTGAATGAGATCAGATGCCGGCTCTTGATGGGGGTCTCTCTATGCAATCCAGAGAGGCTTTGTGGTAGGTAAGGTAGTGTACACAGCTCCGGCACAAGTTGGTGGTTCTGGCAGTAAGGCTGTGAGGTCTGGCTGCTGCAGGAATGGTCAGCGCACCAATTACAATACTGAGACACCGACCATTCCCCTCCATGCTATTTTATGCTGACAGCTGGGGCGGAGACTGCTAGTGACGAGGCACCAGTGGGCGTCGTTGGCGATCAATCCCTGATTGCAGCTGGATGAAATCCTTACACCTCCTGACGCAGAGGTGCGACGAGGTAGGTATGGAGCTCGGATTCTATAAAGCTCGTCGGGGCACTCATACATGTGGGAACCAATGAAGGTTCAATGTCTGCGTTGGGTCCAGTGTTACATTGAGCAGCAGCTCAATTTAACTTGTAGTGGCACCACAAAAGACAAACAGGGTGAGGGGGACATACAGAAAGGGGAGGAAGGGGAAGAGGGGAGATGAGAGGGGAGTCAGATGCCAGAATGTAGTAAAGTAGCGAAGTAGTCGGGCCTTGTGCCGATTATAAGGGTGTTTGTCTCTATAGATGGGAGTAGCGGGCATCAATCACATAGTACAGAGGCAGCAGGGGATGTTTGGGGCGACATATTTGTCGATCCATGGGGACCAGATGGTTTCGAATTTTTACATTTGGTCACTGAGTTGCGCTGTCTGTTTCTCGTGGGCCATAATCCAGTTGACGTGGTTAATGACACTAGTGCTGCTAAGGGATGTGGTCAGCCAATTCTTCGCTATTTCTCTCTTGGCCGAGGTGCATATGTGCATGGAAAGGTTGAATCGTTTACGGGAGAGGTCTTCCGGCCTGCAATTGAGAAGTGCAAAATAAGGGTCCTTAGACACTGGTTTCCAAGAACAGCGATGAAAGGAGAGTGAAGATTTCATCCCAGAAGTCAGAAACTCGTGGGAGGCTCCACCATATGTGGAAGAATGTACCTCGATCCGGACTGCCTCGAAAGCAGGCAGGAGAGCAATTGGGATTATATATAGCCACTCTAGCAGGTACCAGGTACCAACGCAGGAGGACTTTATAATTAATCTCCAGCATGCTTGCACAACGGGAGCTGCTTCTAGTTTTGGCCCAGGATTGGTGCCAGGTCTCGTCCCTAGTAGATGATCCCAAGTCTCTTTCCCATTGGGTCACGTAGGAGGGAGGGGGTGCGTCTAGAGGGGAGATAAGGATGGTGTAGAGAAGGGAGATGAGTCCGGGGCTGTGCGGGTCTTCTCAACAGGTTTTTTCGAATAGGGACATTCGTCGGGGACTATTTGGTTTAGGGGTGGATGAGTTTATGTAGTTTTTAATTTGGAGGTACCTAAAGAGCTCCTTGCTCAGGATTTGCTTATGTTCCTGCAGCTGTGGGAATGTTTCACTCCTGGTCGGATTGAATGTTACTGCTTGCCGTTTGTCCCCTCCCGTGGTGATTGGTCCTTGGCGATGGTGTTTTGCCTGCTGGGGGATAGTCGCATGGGTGTACTCTATGGTGCAGGGCTCCTCGCAATTCATGGAGGGGGTTCAATGCACTGTTTTTCATAATGCTAGTGTTACAATCACCTAGGCATGCAGAATGCTTCTACAAACTATATTTGTGAAAGAATGAGTGAAAGAATGAGTCGCTCTCAGGAGCTGAGTGAATTCAAGCGTGGTACCGTGATAGGTTGCCACCTATGCAATAAATCCATCCGTGAAATTTCCTTGCTACTAAATATTCCACGGTCACCTGTTAGTGGTATTATAACAAAGTGAAAGCAACTGGGAACAACAGCAACTCAGCCACGAAGTGGTAGGCCACGTAAAATGACAGAGCAGGGTCAGCGCATGCTGAAACGCACAGTGCGCAGAAGTCGCCAACTGTCTGCAGAGTCAATAGATACAGACCTCCAAACTTAGTGCGGCCTTCAGATTGGCACAACAACAGTCCGTAGAGAGCTTCATGGAATGGGTTTCCATGGCCAACCAGCTGCATCCAAGCCTTACATCACCAGGTGCAATGCAACGCGTCGGATGCAGGGGTGCAAAGCACGCCACCACCGGACTCTAGAGAAGTGGAGACGTGCTCTATGGAGTGACGAATCACGCTTCTCTGTCTGGCAATCCGATGTGTCTGGATTTGGCAGTTGCCAGGAGAACGTTACTTGCCTGACTGCATTGTGCCAAGTGTAAATTTTTATGGAAGGGGGACTATGGTGTGGGGTTGTTTTTCCGGGGTTGGGCTTAGCCCCTTAGTTCCAGTGAAAGGAGCTCTTAAGGCATCAGCATACCAAGACATTTTGGACAATTTCATGCTCCCAACTTTGTGGGAACAGTTTGGGGATGGCCCCTTCCTGTTCCAACATGAGAGCGCATCAGTGCACAAAGCAAGGTCCATAAAGACATGGATGAGCGATGTTGGGATGGAGGAACTTGGCTGGCCTGCACAGAGTCCTGACCTCAACCCGATAGAACACCTTTGGGATGAATTAGAGCGGAGACTGTGAGCCAGGCCTTCTCGTCCAACATCAGTACCTGACCTCACAAATGCACTTCTGGAAGGATGGTCAAACATTCACATAGACACACTCCTACACTAGGGCTGCAGCTAACTATTATTTTCATAATCGATTAGTTAGCCGATTATTTAGTTCGATCAGTTAAGTTCAATCGATTAATCGGATAAAAAAAAAAAAGGCTCCAGTGATGGACTACTAGTTTGTATTGAGATTGTAGTCCATCACGGGAGCAAGCTTAGAGCAGTGGAAGTAAAAAAAAAAAGTGTGGTGTGCAATATAGTACATTATACAACGGCGCAGTGCAGAATACCAGCGGCTATAGAGGAATGCAGCAATAGTACATTATACTATAATGTACTATTGCTGGGATTTGTAGTCCTCTGTAGCTGGCGTTATTCTGCATTGCGCTGTATATAATGTATTATTGCTGGGATTTGTAGTCCTCTGTAGCTGGTGTTCTGCATTGCGCCGTATATAATGTATTATTGCTGGGATTTGTAGTCCTCTATAGCTGGTGGTATTCTCCATTGCGCTGTATAATGATTATACTGCTACAGTTATATATACAGTTATAGAGGAACTACAAATCCCAGCAATAATACATTATACAGCGCAATGGAGAATACTGCCAGCTATAGAGGAACAACAAATCCCAGCAATAATACATTATACAGGGTGTTTAATATATTATTGCTGGGATTTGGTGTTCCTCTATAGCTGCTGGTGTTCTGCAGTGTGCCGCTTTTTTTTTTTTAAACACGAAACATTAAAACAGGTCCCTGCGCTCTGCGGGCGTGTGTCCGGCTTGTGTGGTGGGCGTATCATACATGGCATGTGCGAGGTGGGCATGGCGTCCGCAGCGTAACTCGTACCTGTTTCACCACAGCACCCCTGTACTGTTCCACAACAGCACCCCCACACAACTATTCCACCACTGCACACCCATACACCTGTTTCTCGCTGCACCTTCATACACCTATTCCACCGCTTCACACCCATACAAGTGTTTCACACTGCACTCCCAAACACCTGTTCCACCACAGCACCCCCACACACCTATTCCACTACTGCACCCTTGTACACCTGTTCCACCACAGCACCCCCAAACACCTATTCCACCACATCACACTCATACACCTGTTCCACACTGCACCTCCATACCCCTTTTCCACCACCACACCCACATACATCTATTCCACCACTGCCTCCCCGCACACCTGTTCCACCACAGCACCCCCACACACCTATTCCACCACTTCACACCCATACACCTGACACGCCACTGATGTGTGGCTCAGGCCGCGTGTGGAGCACCGAACAGGCAAATCAATAGATAACCGACGAATCGAAAAACATTGACAACGTTTTCAATCGTCGATTTTAATCGACTAAATCGATTTACTGTTGCAGCTCTATCCTAAACCTTGTGTACGCCTTCCCAGAAGAGTTGAAGCTGTTATTGCAGCAAAGGGTGGGCCAACTCAATATTGAACCCCACAGACTAAGACTGGGATGCCATTAAAGTTCATGTGCGTGTAAAGGCAGGCGTCCCAATACTTTTGGTAATATAGTGTATATAATATATATTGGGTTTTTCCAGTAATTAACTAAGCTCTTTTACTTATTGGCAGGAGTTTGCAATGGATGGTATGGTGAATATTGTTGGGGGTTGCTGTGGAACTACTCCAGCGCATATTAGGTATGTTTGTATGTGTGTGTTTTTTTTTTTTAAGTTTACAAAATCTTTGTGTCCAGAGTTCCACTCTGAAGTAACCTTTCACAATCTTTCAAATTTAAGCTGAGCAATATGGTGAAAAAATGTGTTAGCAGAGTTTACCTTTACTGAATTTTTAGATATAAATGTGCACAAGACCCTACCACCTCTTCCATGCCAAACCTCTGTAGTATTATTATTGTTATTATTTTATTTAGTTATCTTCTGAGCAGTCTCACTAGTGAATTTGGAAGCATTAAGGACAAGAGGGTGGGGCTAAATTCAACTTCACAAGAAAAGTTAAAGTGACACTAAACTCAGGAGTTGAATCTTTAAAATGCATTCAACTAGCTTAACTATTACCCCTTAATGGCTGAGCTTTTTTTCAATTTTTGTTCGTTAATGACTACAGCACTTTTACAATTTTTTGCTTTGTGATTCTTCCACGGCGTTAATATACTTTCTTACTAAGTGCACCCACACATATTATATATATTTTTTAGAGGACAGATAGGGCTATATATTTATGTCACATATATGTGCCTAACACCTCACTTAGTATGAAGAAAATATTTTTAAAAATGAGGCAAAAATGTAAAGAAATCACTTTTCCCCCAGTTTTGATTATTACATTTTAGAAAAATTGCACAGCTAAAAAAATGCATGAAAAAATATTTATTTTTCCTTTGTTTGGAAATGCCTCACATACCTAGGATGTCGTAAATGTTTCTGTACTTCTCAGCCTAAAACTGAAGGCTAACATTTAATTTTTTTTCTGTTAAAACTAATAGTGGTCACCAGCAGGGGTGTCCCGAGGCCGGGTGTCACCTGGTCTCCAGAGTGGGTGACACCCCGCTGTGTCGTCATTGCACGTGACGTCACCACACATGCGCGGCCACCTGATTGACTCCTGCCGGTGGCCATCTTGGGATGAGGTATGCCGCCGGGTCCCCTCCTCTCTCCTGACATTGTTAGGCTCTCGGTTCAAGACCGAGTGCTCTCGGGGGTGACACCAAAATGACTGTCAGTCATGACAGTCAATGGTGTCACCTGGGTGTGGGCTGCTGTATTCCACTGGTCACCAGGTTAGACAGGTGGCATACATTGTCACTGTCACAAAGTGTGACTAAGTGTTACAAGTCAGTGTTTATGGATGTCCCTATGACTGCTTGAGAATTTAAATACATTTTATTATTATTATTATTATTAGGCTGCCCTAATCTCAGAGACAGCCAATAATAACCATTGTGACACTGAGCCTGACATGCACTGCAACATGTCAGCATCAGAAGTCACTAAAGACTTCTGATCATTGTGGCTAGTTGTCACACGAACAGGCAGCTTTTGCTGAATGTCTCTATGCTGAAGCATTCAGGGAAATGCGGGTATACATCGGGAACTGCTAATATTGATGTGTGCGGCTGCTTGACAGTGATGGGAAGTCCATTTCACACCACACTCTATCACTATCAGACACCTGATTTATAAAAGTGATCGGGTGTCTGAAACTGCTCAAATCTTTCATTAATGGATGCCTAATTTCGGAGCCCGGTGTACGTCCGCAGTCATTTGGGCCCTTAGTGACGGGGACATACATTGTATGTCTCCCATCGCTAAGGGGTTAACAAAAATATATCGTATTTGTGCATCACTCAGCTGTAGATCCTCAAATCTCTGAATTTGTGCTGGAGGGTGGATACTTTTGTTCCCCATGGTCCCAGTGTGTGTTGTAAAGTAGCCACCACTTCAAGCTCACTACCGCGATGGACTACAATCTAACATTACAGGAGATTGTAGTCCATTACAGGAGCAAACTTGAAGCATTGGCTACTTTACAACACACACAGAGACCATGTGGAACAAAATTAGCCACCCTCCAGAAGGAAGGTCAGTATTGGCACCAATTCAAAGATGATTTGAGGATTTACAGCCAAGTGATACACACATAAGATCAATTTTTGTCAATGGTTGAGGTAGTTTAATGCGTTTTTAAGATTTAACTCTTTGTTTGGTGCCACATTGAATTACATATTATTACAGCTAATTATATTTCTGGTTCATTTAGACGTTTGAGTTTCACTGAAGGTAAATAGACTGCACTTTTTCATCACATACTAAATATTAGTCTTAATTTTTGATATATTTACTTTGTCAAATGTTTTTATACAGGACAATTACACTTTGCTTGTCATTGGCACTCTTTCACTCTAGCCCGTTTTTTCTGTGTTGGGGACAACAAGGAGCCTACAGTAGGTGAAATAAAAAAGAAAATAAGCCTACATTTTCTTATAGGTAGGCAACTGGGTCCCCAACCCACAATACTGCTGGCAGAATGGTGATTTTTAGCAATTGTAAAAAAACAAAAACAAACCTCGGGCAGGTTGGCTGTGCCCCCTGTATGCGTTAGTGGTTATAATGGTTTGTAGTTTTACTTCTAATAAAGTCTTGGAAGCTGTGTGCCACAATATTTATTTTCTTGTGCCCCTGTATTTCAAGTCTTAACTCGCAATGTCAGTTCTGCAAACCGTTTGTTTAAAATTGTACTTTATTATCAGGGAAATTGCAGAAGCTGTGAAACACTGTAGACCAAGAATTCCTCCAAAATCGGTCTTTGATGGTTATATGCTTCTTTCTGGTATGTAAATCTAACTTAATTTTTCTTTAACCTCTGCTCACATTTCTGCAGTGCAAAATCATAGGTACTGCATGGTGCGTTGTGCTGTGGTAGGGCAGCCCATTAATTTCCATACTGCTACTAAATCGCACTGAATCGCACACTTTTTTAAAAAAACAATCACATAACACCACGTTGCATGGTAATAGATTACCATGTGATTTGGTGCGATACAACGCATATGCAATGGCTAGGTGTGTTGGGTTACGTTTAAGAAATTATGCTTCTGCTTCACACTTAAAATTGTAGCATACATGCGTGATAATTGTGCAGCATCACACGTACTCCAGCATCACAAAGATGTGAACGGAGCCTTAAGTTGTTCTGTTAGAGATCTTGCAAATGTTATTTGAATTGTGCATTTTAAAAACCTGCCAAAATGTGCTATACAATGGAAAATCTTACGTTTGCACTGTATAAACGAAACTTAGGTCCTGCCCAAGAGACTGGTGTTCTGGCAAACTGGAATATAATTTGAATGTGGAGCTGACTTAATGTATTAATCTCAGAGGCTCTCCTTTGAAGCAAGAAAGTTTTAACCATGTTCCTATACTGACAATGGCATACTCTTGCATGAGGAAACATGGTCCAGCTTTTTCTGTTCTATAGTGTGAGCTGTAATCCCAAGTCAAAGTAAATTGTAATTACAGACACAAACCAACCAAATGCCCAACCATAGTACCCAGTACAGGTCTGTAGAATACAAAGTAGGTATTGCTTTTACAGTAGAAATGTCACTTTCTCAGTACCACAGTTTACACTGGTATGTTGATATGTATGTAGCCAAACTTAATTTATTCACTGGTAAGGAATTAAAAACACATTTACTAATGTAAAATCCCAAAGCCATGACAAGAAGAGGAAACCCCCCCCCCCCCAAAAAAAAAAACATCATAGAAGCTTAAGGATTTTTATTACTCTATTGGTCATAAGCCTGAGACAATATGGTGCTCACAGCGAAAGCATCCTCCTCCTCATCCCACTGCCCTTTAGTGTGGAAATAAGACTAAAAAAGAGCATCAGGTAAAAGTCTCAAGAGTGCAAAAAAAACCTTTATTGGCTTCACAAATGGCGACAAGAAGATGTGCACAGCCAACACATTTCAGGGGTCACAAATCCCCCTTCTTCAGGGCTTCAACAATGGACAGTGGGACACTAAGAGCCCCTGCAGACAAACCTATTTCTCAGGCAGGAGTGGAAATCCTTGGTGTGAAAAGATCTTTACCAGCAGTTCAGCATTTGTACAAGTAAACAAATGGTTAACTGCTGGTAAAGATCTTTTTACACCGAACACACTAGTGGAGGCTTGAGCACTGAGCTCTGACTCTACCAAGGCATAAGTGCCTCACAGCCAGCAAAAATAGCATTGTTGGGACTAATGCGAAAGCTACCTCCTTCAAAACCCCCAGGGTTCTTTCCCCCCAAGTTACTAAAGGCATTCCAGGGTTTTTTTTTTTAACTACCATTGCCAGGAGGCTCTTGAACTCAAGGCCAACATGGCACCTCGGAAGAGCCAAGATACAGATGAAGAACAGCAACCTAGCTTCAAAGCTAAGGAGCATACAGCAAAAGTTGATTAGCAAACACAAGACCAATTGACTACCTTGGCTGATATTATAGTCTTTTCTGCAGACATAAAGACAATAATCTCAGCAGCAATATTGATCAGATGTACAAATTAGGTTTGGAAAGAGACCTATTACAGTCTCAGACTTCCAACGTTTCAGAGATGCTCACACCTCTGATCTCATAACATTTACTCGCTACTTACCATGTAGTGTGAGCCTGGATAACTGGGGCTGCAGGCACAATATCAGAGTGATAGGCCTTCCATAATCACTCCAACAGGGTCACCTAAAACCCAAAGTTCTGATTATCTTTAATAATCAATTGTAACACCCAAAATAATTACCTGTTGACTTAAACCAGATCCACAAAACATTTCGCCCATACAATCCATTAGATGCTCTTCCAAGAGATGCCATCTGTTGTCTGCTTGAAAGAGGAGAACTTACACAAAGCAAGGGAGGACAGGCTAATTAAGTCTATTGGAACCAACATCAAGCCTTTCCAAGACCTCCAGCATCACAGCGCCCTACGACAGCTTTTATCTATCCTGAGAGAAAGGGGCATTTCATACAACCTGCTAAGGCAAAACTTAAAATCTTCATATGCTGGATGACATTTTAAGCTTGAGAACCTCCACTGACCATGTTGAGCTCCCAGAGTGGTGCAGAATAATTCAACACAGCAACTGCTGGGCAATGCACTCACCCTCCTTCTTACTCTCCTCTCAAATCTTTCTACAAACGAGGTACCCAGCTGGATCTTTGCCTTTCCAGGAGCAAACCATTGAAGTTCCCCTTCTCCTACCTTGTGCATTCATAGTAAGGTCAGCATCTATTACTCCCAAGCCAAATTAATCTCTGAAACAAGCCATTGAGATCTTGCTTTGTTATAAACTTTGTTTAGTTAGTTTCTTACCAAAACTACTGATCTTCTGGTCTATTTGATTATAAACCGTCTAACTTTAATACCAGTTTCCATGATTTGGACACAAAACTTTTTTTTTTGCAATCAAGAACTATCATACTATCATCATTTCTGTGTATTTAGAGGATGTTATGCAGAGGACCGCAACTCCCTTATTTTCCAGAGCATTCCCCAACAGGAATGGTTCTTATATCCAATCTGGTTTAGCTCCACTTGCTTTAACCAGTTGACATCCGCGGTGTTAAACCCCCTTCCCATCCAGGCCATCTTACAGCATGAGTATATAAGATGCTTGAGAAACGTGTCCTTTTAGTCTGTATGTAAAAAATAGTCCTTAACAGGTTTCTGTGTGTTTCTGTGTGTGTCTGTGACTGAAGGACCATCCCCTGTCCTTATATTTATGTTCTTTAAAATAACCTATGAGATGTTTACCTTAAAAGTCATTCACATTAGCATAATGAAGTTCCATTCTCTTAGTCCTGACTCGTGTATATTCCTTCAACTACTCTTTGCATTCTTCAATCCCACTTTAAAGGCACACGTCTTCTCTGTGAACATTTCTAACGGCTGTTCACACTGCCTGACAGTGTTACTGATTTATTACCATTTGTAACTCAAAATTAGTAGTACAGTTAAACTGCATTTCCAAACTTGGATAGATGAAAATATAGAAAATCAATAATTTAGGTTTACATCCTACATAATTCCCTATATGAATACTATGGTTTTTACAATGTACGTGTGTTAGATTCAGAACAGGGATATTTTGCGAGTTTCAGTAATGTCTTCAAACCTTTAGCTGTTACTCGTGGGTTCTTCTCTACCTCATAGAGGATTCTGCATTGTGCCTTGGGAGTTATCTTGGCTGGGCGCCCTCTTCTCATAAGAGTATCCACAGTACTAAACGGTCTCCATTTATAGACCGTTTGCCTAACTGTCGACTGATGGATGCCTAAACACTTTGAGATTGCTTTGTATTCAGCCTAACTACTTCTGATTATATGTCTTTAGCGAGCACCTTTTTGCGAGGCAGAATTCCCATCAGTTGATGCTTCTTATGAACAAAAATGTTAAAATGCTTGAGTGTCTTTTAATCAATCAAAGCAGCTCTAAACCACACCCCCATACTCATTTCAATAATTGTGTGTAAGCTATCCTTTAAGCACACTGGAGGGGATTTATAAAAACGGGAGCAGACACAATCTGGAGCATATGGCAACCGATTAGATTATCTCTTCAGTTTGTACAGTTAAGCTTTGAAAATTAAAAGATGGATGCTGATAGGTTGCCATGCACAGGTGCTCCAGATTTTGTCCGCTCCAGTTTTGATGAATTCCCCTCATTGTGTTTATCTATTGTAGTGACTCTGATTAGGGTCAGATTTCATTTTATGGCTGATAACTGCAGAAAATCAGTTAATTCTAAGGGGTTCACATACTTTTTCTTGCCATTGTATCTTGGGCTCCCTGCTACCTCCAGTGATGAGGTCACAGACTGCATTAACCCTTCTTGCTCCTGTTGGTTCTTGTAAATACCCTTTTGCTAATCCGTCACTTACATAGTAGTATGGCGGACAGTAAGCACAAGGGGACCAGTCCTGCAGGCTTTTCTGGATTATGATCTATTAGGAATTCAGGGGTGGCTTGCATTATTCCTTCTAAAGGCTTTGGCTCAGAAAGTCCTAATACATGTTTTGTCTGTCATCCCTCAGAGTTATCCCTAACCCTTTCTGAGGAAGATTGCAACCATTTTAGCTTAATCAGAATGCAGGGACTACTAGTGCTTGTCCACGCCTTTTCTCTTCCATTCTTAAGGACACAGGGAACAGATATAGGATTATGTACCGTAGGGTAATATCGCCACCTACAGGAGGAGGACAATTGGTACAAACAAAAGATTAAGACAGCCTAGCCAAACCCCTCACCTGCTGACAAGTCCCCAGTTTTTGCCTAGCGTCACGAGTAAGGAGCTAAGAATTTTTTTCTCCCATCTATTTTGATCTGTTCCGTCCTTTTTTCGCTGGAGCTTCTAGCAAGTGTCGCCAGGGCGACTAGCTGGATGTTATAGATCCTTGGAGTCTCCCCTGTACCACCGCCGAATGCACGCAGACTCTGACACGGTGAGTTGGCTGCGACGTCTCTGCTTTTTTCAGCAGAGTGACCTGTGGGTTCGTCCCAGTGGGCTGCATATGACTGGGGGACTCGGCCTACCAGTCAACGCACTCCATACAGGCTTGTGGTGCCGTGACTAAGGTCGGGGGTGTTTTTTCCAATCGTCCCTGCACACCCCTTTTTTTCTGCCTGGCTCTGGTTCCATGGGGAGGCCCCTTAAGAAGGTACCTGGACGAGTGACCACAGCAGGGACTTCACTTTGACCCCCATGGTGTGGTATGTATGTGGGGGTCGGGCTGGGGCTGCGTGGGCCTTGTGTGCAGGGATCCTGATCCATGTGGAGAGTTCCGGTGCTAA